CCTCAGACCCCCCCGGCCCCCTCCTTCGTTGCCAGACTCCCCGCCGCCACACACCCCTCAGCTTCCTCCACCTACACCCTGCACACCTCCCCACCTCCTGTCTATTGATCATGCACACCCCCTCTTTCGGCCGCTACACCTCCCCCCTTGCTCCCTCTTCTCCTCTCTCCGCCTGGTATAGCAAACTAAAAGTCCTGGCCAGGCAAATTGCGAACACCAGCCGGAGAGCAATGGGAACCCATGAACGACAACATCTGCGGTGGACACACCAGGCCTCAAGACTGCTTAAGAGACAATGACATTCGGCACCTGAAAAGCAGGGAGTGGAACCTAATTCAAGATACACTCCGGAGGCAACGACACTCAAGTCAGGGAAGGAACCCATGGAATGTTGAACACAGTGAGACGAGTGACTTGCAAGTTTCCCACAAGACTGTGACGAACCGATTTCTGTTCCGCGCGATTTTCTGCACGATAACAATGAGGGACCCTAAGCTGGGAAGGATGGGCCATTTACGGGAGATTGGGATTGAGGGAGAATTGCATCAGTGTCCTCGCCTTTTCGTCTTTTCTCTTTCGCCGCTTCTTTTCGGATGACTGGATTCAGGCTCGGGCAAGCCCCGGGATGATCGATTGAGTGGCGCGTCGTCGAGCGCGCGAATAATACTGATTAACACCGTTCCTTTTCGTTTTCTATTGATGGATTTTAGGCGCGGAGACCGCGCGGGAATTTTTGTTTCTTTCTTTTTTAATTTTCTTTCTCAATCTTGTCGAGCCCCAATGACTCTCGGAATTTCGAACTTTCCTTTCGGAATTCGTGCTTTTCGTTTTTTCTGCATTAGATAGGAATTTAGGAATTTAGGATTTTCTTTTGCCCCGCAGCGCTTTTTGCTTACGCGCTTCTTTTTTGCGGCTGCAACGGAGCTCTGATTAGTCGGCACCCTTAATCGTGTGTGTAACTTCATTTTTGGCGAGCGCCACTGTAACTGTATCTTTCTTCCTGAACTTCGTCTTTCCCGCTCTCGCTTTTCTCTTGCTGTGTCTAGCTAGCCCGCGGACTGCATGCTCGGATCGATGCGTGGAGAGAGGCTACATCCCCCACGCCGCGATCTGGCCATGCAAAACGCAGGCGCTTTTTTTTTTTTTTTTAGCACTGGTGGAGAGGCTCCATCTATTGTTGGGGAGCGTCACCTGCTGGAAAACGGGTCCAGCGTCCCATTACATGAAGAAAGTAATCGAGAAGAATTATGAGGCCCAATGACCATGTGTGAGTGTGGGACCTGCCAGCATTGATTGCCCTGGAGAACCAGGGGATTGACTGAGCAGGGCCCTAGGTGCTCGGGCCGCCTTAACTGGGGCGGCCCTGATGTAGTCCTTAGAATGTTGCTATTTGAAAGTTGTTGTTATCTTTGTATTTCTTCACCCTCCAAGGGGGCGTCAAATGGGAAGTTCAGAACTGATACTGTGAACCAGCTGCTGCTTTCTCGTAGCCTCGTTGTGTCCTAATCCTTGCAAATCCTTGTTCTTTGCGCATGCATGCACGCTATAAATTCCGGTTGCGCGATTAGATAGCTCTCTTAACCAGTTGTTGGAAGCTCGGGGAGTGCGATCAGTGAGGGTCAGCTCGCGAGCGAAGTAAGAGGTGAGTTGAAGTGGGAGTCGGGCGACTCGACGAGCTGGTGCCGAACGCGCGAGGGTTGACGCGGGCCACGATGGACTGTGGGCACGGGCGAACCTGACGGGTGCGGGAGGACTAAGCGGGGTGACGACTTCGTGGGTTGGTGCGTGACAACGGAACCGGACAGTCCGCATCGGGGAGGAAGAAAGAAGAAGAGGGAGATGAGGTTGATGGACGTGGTTTGCAATTTTCCTTGTCTTGTCTTCATCCTTGCTTTTGTATATAAGTTTTGTTCTCGGCTCAGGGCGATTCGCCCGTTTTCTTTTGCTTTCGGAATCTTGGCTTAGTTTCCGCCCACACTCGTTTTTGCGATTGGCCTCGATCTCGTTTATCGTGTGTTATGTCAAATGAATGGATGAATGAATGTTATGTCTGTTTGTTTTTCCTTTGTCTGTTCTTGCCATTTTGATACCCTTCTGAGCATAGCAGGAACTTCCGCGTAGTCGTTACTATTGCTGTTTGTTTTTCTTTGATTTACTGTTGTTGTTGTGATGCCTGATGTGCAGTAGCACCTTGTATGCGTCGGAATGATTGCGTGCGGGATCACGGAGTGATTAAATGATTGGGTAGTTTTTTGTCCAGAAACAAGCGAATACCTTGCGGGGGTGCGTGTAAGCGAGATTGCGCAGCCTACACGTATCCACGCGCGCCGATTCTCGACCATCGACGAACTTGACGCCTTCGAGCAGACGGGAATTGACCTTCCCCCTCGCACCTAAACGGAAAGGAATTCCAATATCACGACGGAACATCCCCTTGCCGATTAGACGCGTGTGGAAGAATTTTATCCCCCCGCAATGATAAGATGCCGAGCTCCTGGGACTCGGAGTACATTGACCCCTGGGTGAGGAAATGCATTAGGCAAAGATATTCGAAATTCCCCTGCTTAACCGAGAATTGATTGTGCCCCAGGGAGTTTAATTGTGCCGTAACCAGCGATTCGAGGTGCCCTGATTACCCAACTACGGACAACTCGCACTACTTCATATCCCCCAGTTTCGTCGTT